GTGTGTGTGTGTGTGTGTGTGTGTGTGTGTGTGTGTATTAGGGGGAGATGTCTTAATTAAAGTAGGCATAATTATTATATATCAGGAGTGTGTATGTGTGTATGAATTTATGTGTGCGTGTTTGTAAGTGTGTGTGCGAGTTTGTTAGTTCATTTGTTTGTTTGTGTGAGTGTATGTGGGGACAAAGAGAGAGAAAGAGTGTTACAGGGAAAGATAGATAGAGAGAGAGAGAGAGACAGACAGACAGAGAGAGAGAGAGAGAAAGAGGGAGAGATAGAGAGAGAGAGGGGGGGATGGTGGAAGGAGGGTGGGAGAAACAGAGAGAGAGAGAGAGAGAGAGAGAGGGGGGAGGGAGGGAGAGATGGAGATAAAAAAAAGAAAAACATGTGTGCATTTTGTATAATTTCACACCATTTTCCAACAAACACCGACAACTAACGCACCTCATCCAGGGTCTGCTCCAACTTGGTCTTGAGCTTGTTGAGGTGGTTGACCTTGTCCTCCTCGGCCTGCAGATCCTCCATGGTCTTCTTCTGCTGCTCTTCCAGGTTCTTCCTGTCCTTGCTCAGCTTGGTGATCTGGTCGTCCTGGGCGGCCATCTCGTCTTGCAGAGTCTTGATCTGGTTGTCCTTGGTCTGCTTGTCTTGCTCAGCCTATGGGGACGTGGTGGGTGTGGTTTGGAGGTGGGGGAAGGGGAGAGAATGTATAATGATTAATTGTTATCTGTGACACGTTTACTGTGGGGTTGTGGGGGTACTGAGAGGGAGGGGGCTTGTCTTTATTGTGTGTGGTGGGGGGGGGGGGTTAAGGGTACAGGTTCTTACGTTACAACTTACATCCCACCCCAGCATGATTTTTAAAGATAATATTTAAGACAAAATCGACGTGTTACAAATAAGTCACCTTGAATGTCTCAGTGCGTGAAATAGAACGAAATAAATGAGTAGACTGAAGGGTTGAGTAAATACAATGAATTTGTTTACAATGTCTATATTTCTCCGATGTGCCATTCTACTGCTGAGGAGGAGTGGGGGCCGCTTTTAATCCCTCTGCAAAGGGAGGTGGGGTGAAAAAGAGGGAAATGGGAGAGAAGAGAACGTTCCCATCAGTGATAACTTACCTTGGCCAAAGTGTTCTCCAGATCCTCAATATCCTCCTTCAGGGCCTTGTTGTCGGCGTCCATCTTCTTCCTCTTCTCCTCGAGCTCAGCAGCGGCGTCTTCCTCGTCCAACAGACGCTCTTCCATCTCCTTGATCTGAGACTCATACTCAGCCTATACACAGACAAAGACACACACAAAGAACAGGCTAGTCAAACATTGAAGATGTTTGTTAAAAGTGTTAGTGTATTTAACACCACACTGTAAGCAAAATTGGTCGCCTTACTAGTTTCTGGACAAGGAATCAGGAGAAAAGAATTATTATAATTATTCATTGTTTTTAGAAAATTAAATTAATTAATTAATTATTTATTATTTTCGTTTTGACTCACCTTATTAACGAGTTGGTGAAACGTTTATTTCCATGTCTAATTCATTAATGAGCAGGCAGTTTGTTTGGTTTTGGTTGTTATTATTTGTTTGGGTTTTTCATTTTTTTTAAAAACTGAGCTTACTCTATAAATCTTGTTCCAAAAAACAAAAATAAATAAATTACAAAGTCCCACTCACCTTCTGGGTAATGAGTTTCTCGATCTTCTCCTCGGCGTCGATGAGGGTGTCCTGCTCGGCTTGCAGTTGGATGTACAGATCGTTCTTGGCCTGCAGCAGACCCACGTTCTGTTCCTCCAGCTCCTTGCGCAGTTTCTCGGTCTTCTCGAGCTCGACCTTGGTCTTCTCCAGCTCCTCTTCCTTCTTCTTCATGTCATCCTCAGCACGGGCGATGTTCAACAGAGGCTTGACCTTGACGTACAGACGCCACCACAGCCAGTTCTTCAGTCCGAGCCACTTACGGATGTTACGCTGGATCACGCTCAGACCCACTCTGTCGGGGGGCAAAGATTAAAAGTTTAAGGTTTTAGTTGGATACTAGAGTAAGATTTATTTGAATATTTAGAAAAGTGAAACGTTTCCATTGTAGTCTCAAGAAACATAATTTGGGCATCACAAGGCTATATATCACAGTGTGTGATAAAAGAGCCAGATGCAAACTGATTTTACATTAGAAGTTAAATGAACTCGAATGAAGGTGACGGATAGATGATCATGTCGTAGTGTGTATGTGGGGGGGGGTCGTGTTCTGTCAATACATATTCTAAGTTTATCGTTTGTACGCACTATGACGTACGATACGAGTTATTTTGATTTAAAAGCAACCTCCACCCCCCAATCCACGCCCAATTATACCCTGACAACACCTTTCTCTCAGACAAATACCGACTAGACTCTCAGTCACCAACATCATTGTCTTATACCACAGGCATCATTACAAAAACACATAATGACGTTCCCTTCCCTCAGCCAAAGACTACCACAAAACTCCAACTCTATAACATCCCTCCTCACCTCTGGTCCTGCAGTTTCTTGTAGGACTTGCGCATCAGGTAGCCGCGGATGTTGGCCTGGAACATGGAGATGATCTTGGATAGACGCTCGTCACGCATGTCCTCAAGGGTACCCAGCACACCAGCCTTGAAGAAGACCTTGGTGGTGCCCAGACGGTACTCTGCGGGGTCCAACTGGAGAGCCAGCAGGATGTTCTCAGTCACCTTCTTGCCATCAACGAAGCCATCGGGAATGGCGTTGGGGGCCAGGATGGAGTAACTGGGGACGGGTGGAAAAACACAAGATGTGTTAAGAGGGTGTTTGTACCTTCAATACCCTTCACTTTTTACGCTGACGATGTTTTTGATGTTCCTGAAGAGATGGGTCATCTGATGTGTGTGTGTGTGTGTGTGTGTGTGTGT